CTTCAAAACCTCCCATATACTCCTCCTTGTCCTTTCAAATCCATGGTTTCATTTTTCATTATTTGTACATACACACACACACACACACACCCTGCTTGGTCTATATAATAGAACTTGTATGATTTCAAGGCTGACCATCTGGTGTAGGATGACTAGTTGGTGTGCTCTCCACTGGGTAAGACTGTTTTTCCTGGTCTCAGAATTCTTCAGTTATCTGCAATTCTTTGTGTAGGGCTGAGAGGCCTTGTGGTGTCTCCCACTACCCACCCCTCCCCCCAACCTTGGAATGTCTATTGTTGTTACCTTTGTTCAGCCTATGTTTGGGCACTCATGTGAATGAAATGTTAGGGTGTAGCATTTGATCTTAATAAAAGACACATAGTTCCACAGAAAACTCCCTGATCCTTTGGCTCTTACCATCTTGATAACTCTAAGAGTGCAGTAGTGGCATGCATGCATACATACATACATACATACATACATACATACATACATACATATATCAGCAGTAAACAACAGCTCTTTAATTGGACTTAAGACCCACTCAACAAGAGGGAAACTGGTACTGGTAACCCAGGCAACTACTCAGAGTCAGTGAAGACATGGATCTTGGAGAAGAACTGATAACAGTCACTTTCCTAAGCCATAACAATCACTAATTATGCTTTAAGTGTTTGTCCTTATATTCACAGGTAACTGTAGTCCTCACCCCTCATCAAGAAAACTCTTTGCAACAGAGATCATTACAGAAAACCACAACCAATCAAATACAGAGCTGTGGAGTCCAGTCCCTATGGGTACATCTAGACAGACTTTTAAATTTCACTATTGTCTATGTGCTCCACAGATAGGAAAATTTGATAAAACTCAGTCTACAAACAATTCTAAAATAAAACTGAAAATTCTCTGCCTGGCAAATCTATCAAGGTGACAGAAAACAGTATAAATAGAAAAAAACTTAACCCCAAATCCTCAAGTAAAATAACAGTATCAAATATGAAAGACAAGTTTCAATCTAGGTCTACTACTTGCTTCCTCTGGACAGTTTCTCAGTGTCTCCCTCCAGTTCCTCAACTACAAAGTAAGGTTAACGACATACCCAGGGCTGCAGTGCACAAAGCAGTCCATGGGAAAGCTGGTGCACAAGGAGCACTCAGCCAGCACTGGCCATAGCAATGAGTCACTGCCATAGCAGCTCCAGTTCCAAAACCGTGAGCACTGTGAGACGTTAAGTTGTGTCTCAGCATATACTCAATCTCAGAAGTATATTATCTTTAGTGAGTTAAACATGCAAAGTTTACTAAGTTAGCAGTTTTAACTACTGAAATCCTTGAAATTCTTTTAAAAAAGGAGTCTTCTACAAGTGACTCAACTGCTAAGAATAATTTTCTATGCTGCACACATAGAACGGTGTAGTAGCAAAGAGCATGTATGCTGGGAACATGCCCATGGGAAAGTATCATTTTTGTTATTTACAAACTATATGAGCTTGGACAACATTACTTAATATCTCTGTGCATCACATTCTCTATCTATAAGCATAAGAACATGATGGGAGATGTCATTCTGTAAATATGTTTCTCTTATTGGTTAATGAATAAAGCACTGTTGGCCAATAGGAAAGCAAGATAGGCAGGACTAGGAGACAAGGAGGATTCGAGGAAGTAGTAGGGAGGAGTCAGCATGTAAAGACTGGAGAGAGCAGATGCCAGCCCCACTCTCTGGTAAGTTGACACCACGTGGAAATACTTAGATTAATAGAAATGGGTTAATAATTAAGACAGAGCTAGCTGATAAGAAACTAGTACCTGGCCAACAGCATTATATGAAATACAGAGTCTCGGTATGTTATTTGGGGCTGGCGCCGCAGTGGATTCAGGCCGGCAGGAAAACCTACTCGTTAACAATATGGCGCCCAACGTGGCTCTAATAAGAACTTCCACTTAAAACTTAACAAAAGCTTAAAAAATGGTCTTAGAAACAAAAGAACAAAGACAAGCAGAGACTTGTGCGGCTCCTTTAAGGGAGATTTCCCGACTCAGCATAAGCGTCAAAAAACCGCACATCTTTTAAAGAGCTCTGCTAACAAATTCATTGGTGTGTACGGGAACAGGCACATCTCCAACCCGGCAGCATGCTGCTGGATGGCAGCACAAACCAAGGCAGTGAGCACAAACCAAGGCAGTGAGCACAGCTCTCAGTTTTGGCGGTAAAGGTACCTGCCGCCATCTTTGATAGACTGTGGCTGAAACAACTGTGGCTTTCATTTTAGCAATGTTGTTGTTTACCAGATAAAAGACTCGTGGGAAGAAAAACATAGATTTACAGTAAAGACAGATTCACATTAAGAAAAAGTACTAAAGGTTTACAGTGTGTTTTAAAATAAACGTAGGCTTGGGAGAGAAAAAGAATAAAATGGTTTTTAAAAAGACAGAGGAGCTGGGTGTGGTGGCACATGCCTTTAATCCCAGCACTCGGGAGACAGAGGCAAACAGATCTCTGTGATTGCAAAGTAAACCTGGTATGCAGAGTGAATTCCAGGACAGATAAAAGTTATACAGAGAAACTCTGTCTCAAAAAATGAAAAAATAAAAAGTAAACAGAATAATAAAAAAGCCACATAAAGATGGGGAGAATCTGGATACCGTACGGTATTATATTGTCTTTGTATCGTTTGATTGCTGAGGAAATAACAACAACTGTTAAAACAAATGCTGCAGGATCAATCCAATTTATATATTTTAAAAATGCTTTGACTTCAAAATTTAAGTCTAAGGACAAGTTACTGGGGAAAAGGATTTCTATTTTTGTTTCCACAGAAAATGAAAAGCTTCCTTACAGACTAATGTGGTTTTATCAAGCCAGACCCCCTGAAACAGAGTCGCAGGTGATCCAACATTCAAAACAGTTGGACAAAGCAGCCTTGCAGACTACAGCCAAGATATCTGCATCTTCTTAGGATCCCCATGACAGCGCCCCCTACCAGCAGGAAGCAGTTTGGAAAGAATGATGCCCAAATTCCCAAATATTGTTTATAAATGTTTGTTTTCATTTAAATGGGATTGGTTATAAATGGTTAATGACAACAACAAATCTCTTTTTAAAGGTAAAAAGGGAATTATGGTATAGATATGAATACTTTGTTTTGGAATAGATTTTCATTTATTGATACAATTTGAGGTCAATTTTGTGATATGTATATTTCTCTTCTTGTTTAGATATTGTGTTTGCATAGCTCATTTAGAAATGTAATGTATAATGTAGTACAGATTATAGTTAAGTATAATAGTCAAAATTTATAGTGTTAGTTAGGTTTTCTAGATATATAGAGATGTATTTGAGATGGATAAATATTCTTCAAATCTTTCAAAGACCTACAGAATATGGCATTTAAAATGGCTTAGGATTTTTCTTGACAGTGAGACATAACTGTTCCTGGCATTACCACCAGTGTCAGAAAGGAAGATGGACATTAAAAAAAAACTCATAATGGAGTTTGCTTCCAATATGGCAAGACTAGCCATTTGGGCAAGATACTGCTCTTGTCTGGACTGTTTGACTTTATGCTGTATAAACTGGACATGCAGGACCCACAAGAAAATGACTGCTGATACAAGATGGACATTTGCTACAGGGTTGCTGCTTCATGGAAGAGTCTGCCAGACATTCTGCAGGACATAGAGAAAATGACTGACAAACTGCCAATACAGATGGACAGTTTAAAGTTTACTGCTTTGCTTAAGAGTCTGCCAGACACACTATGGCCTATGGGCTGAAGATGGAACATTACAGAAGAACTTCGGGTGACTGACCAGGCAGTGAGTTGTCTCTGTCATTTCTAGAGTTTATATATTATCCTTCTGTGGTCTTTGAAGGAGTTGAAGACAGATAGTTATGGTTATAGTTTTCCTTAGTTAGGATTAAAGATAAGTTACATACAGGACTTTAGACTTACAAAGATAGGATAGATGATAGAATATTTTCTTTAAATCTTCCTAAATGTTAATGAACTAAATATTGTTAACTGTGATTCTTATTTGATAACTGTTGTGTGATACATGTTGCTATGTCAAGGTTAAAACCCTTCTTTTTTATTTTAGACAGAAAAGAGGAGATGATGGGAGATGTCATTCTGTAAATATGTCTTATTGGTTGATGAATAAAGCACTGTTGGCCAATAGGAAAGCAAGATAGGTGGGACTAGGAGACGAGGAGGATTCGGTAGGGAGGAGTCAGCAAGTAGAGACTGGAGAGAGCAGATGCCAGCCCCACTCTCCGGTAAGATGAGACCATGTGGAAATACTTAGATTAATAGAAATGGGTTAATACTTAAGACAGAGCTACCTATAAGAAACAAGTAACTGGCCAAAAGCATTATATGAAATACAGAGTCTCTGTGTGTTAATTGGGGCTGGCGTGGCGGTGGGACCGGCGGGAAAACCTTACTCCTAACAAGAACATATTTGTCATATAAGGTTATTATGGAGACTGAATAAGATAATCATATGTATCAAGTATAGTACTAAACATTTTTCAGTTATCATCTCTGTTATCCCCTTAGAGTTGACTGAAGAAAAAGAATTTACGTATAACTAGTAAAACTTGACTTTACAGAAACACTATATCAGATTCTTAAAAACTTGTATCTCCCCACTCTCTTATTTTTAAACTGGTTGACTGCTGAGCCAACATTCTGTACCTTGTCTCAATATGAGCAAGACAAAAAGTAAATTTTGTATTGGTTTATTCTGCCACTGATACAAAGGTATAGAAGGTTCAAGAGCCTTAACAAAATCCACTTTATGCTAAGCAAGGGGGTGCACACCCTTAATCCCAGCACTTGGGACGCTGAGGCAGTTGAGTTTCTGTAATTCAAAGCCAACTTTGTTTATATAGAAAACTCCAGGCCAATTAGAACTACACACTGAGACACTATCTCAAAATAAGTAAGTAATCCATTCTAGCATCTCATGTCTTTTTTTAAACAAGTCATGTCCTACCTGTCATCTGCATTGCGAAGGGATGGAAGTCGGAAGCTTGTGTTTCTGTCAAGCTTTGACTGGCTTTTGGTCCTTTTGATGGAACCTTTCAGGCGCTTGCTGAAGAATCCCTAGAATGAAAAGACAGAGTGGTGGGAAAGAGAACTACTCAGGAATCTTCCCTTCTGCAAAGAACTTGCAAAAGGGATTTACATTGAAAAGGAAGGACTGGGACAGAATCTAGCTTTCAGTTTTTAATTTTATAAATGCTAGTTGTTTGAAACTTCTTGGTAATATAATGAAGGACTTTTTTCTACTATGAAAAACTGAGATAATTAGACTTGTTGATAACATCAATCTTAGTTTTTATACTAGTTGTGGCAGGAAAAAAAAAGCCACAAGTTTACAAATATACTTTTAAAACAACAGTACAACAGACAAATATACTGTTTTCTATGAAAATATTATCAGCAATCCCAATGGAATTGACATATAATGATTTCCTAAACTAAAGGAAATTAGGTAAATAGAACATCATGTGCAAACTCCCTCAAGTGGGAAGGTATCTGCTGCACTGGAGACATGAAGACATTGCTAGAGGATGGGGGGAGTGTTAACTAAGTAGCACAAGGACTGTATTGTTGCTCTCCAAAGTATTATAGAGTTTGCTCACATAATTTTGGATATTGTTATTTATAAAATTAATTCAAATGCAGAGAAACTATTTTACAGGATATATATATCATCTATGAAATCACTGAAGTACTGAGAGGCAAAGAAAAGAAGTGTTCACATGAACTCACAGGTTTTGTGACCTCAGGTATCAGATCCAGCCAGCCAAAATTCCAGCAGGATGGGGAGGGGCCCAAGAGGTCCCAACTATACCCAGCCAAGAATCTAAAGGCAGTTCAAAGCTGCTGACTGAAGCAGTTTTCTTCAGGGATACAAGCCCTGACAGGAAGCCCATGCTCCAGGGAATAGTCATACACCCTGTGAAAAACTGGCAGCACTAAGTGGACCAAGTAGGTTCGGGGAAAAAAAAAGAAGAGTAGATCAATTAGGAGGGAAATGTGGTGGTACAGGTTTGGGAGGAGTTGAAAGAAGTGAGTAGGGGCGGGTTTGATTGATTAAAATGCATTATGTATGAAATGCTCAGACAATACATTAAAAATATGAACAAAGTACTTTACATCCTTTGGTGATCTCCTGACACCTCCAAACTACAGAAAGCACGTACTCACCTTGAAAATGAGCACACAATAAAAAATTTGTTGTATAAATCCAAGAATGAATGAAGATGGTCACTATTTATAAGGCACACAAAATAATGAGCTTCATTCTGGCATTGTTACATAGATGTTATATACCTTATTCTCAATCATTTCCCTCCTTTATTGTCCTCTCCTCTACTCCTTGCCCAACACTGGCTGGCTTGTCACCCCCTTTGCTTTCCCTTCAGCTTAGTCCCTTACACTTTCTTCATCTCTTCTTACTAATTTTCAATTGAGGCCTACTTTATCAGGTAACAGAATGCTATACTAACCTGTTTTTGGCCGATGTTCACTTGGTAGATTGTTTCCTATCCTTTGGCTTTCAATCTTTACAAGTAAAGTATTTTTCTTAGAGACAGAATTAGCTGGATCTAGTTTTTTAACCTAGCCTGTGTCTCTCTTTTGGTGATTGAGCCTGTTTACTTTAAAGGTTTTACTGAGAAATGTTCACTAATTCCTGTAGTCTTGTTGGTTGATTTCTGGTTGGGTTAATGTTTGCTCTTTATTTCTCCCATTAGAATTTGTGGATTGCTCTTTTTTGATTACCCCTTTAATGAAATTCTTTCCATGCTATTGTGATTCAGACTTCACTCTTCCCTCTTGTATGTTTAACATTCCTTTTTCTCTGCAGTGCTGGCTTGGCTTGGTGATCATGAACTGATTTAGTTTCTGCTGTTCTTGAAATATTTACTTCTCCTTTAATTAAAGAAATAGCTTTTCTGGGCATAGCAATCTTGGCCAGCAGATACTACTTTCAGGGTTTGAAATCTAACACTGCACATTCCTTGGCATCTGGCTTGCTGATGACAGATCTGTTCTTACTTTGGTGTTTCTGCCTTTGTAGGTGAATTGGTGCTTTCCTCTTACATATGTTGAATATTTTTATAACATTAGGACTTGATCCACACATAAGAGAAAGATGAAAAAGTTACTTAATGAATAAATAAAAATGTTTTTGATTATAATAATTGTTTCAATTATTCTTGCTACCCAGAAGGGGAACTGTGATTCAGGGTGTAGCTCAGCAGTTCAGTAGATGTAAGGTCCTGGGTTCAATCTCCAGTGCCAGAGACAAAACTAAACAAAATTTAAAAGGAAAATGAAAAAAACATGTAACCCCCCCCCCCAATACTAGTAAAATACATCTAATCTGTATTTTAGATTCAAGCTTATTATAAGAAGTTATATATTTGAGGAAAAAGAAAAGAATCTTTAAATTTTAAATTTCTTTAAACAGTCATTTGTCTGATCTGCTGTTCAGTATTGTACTAGCATGATGATGGAGACTTGCCATTAGTTCTCAAGATAAATGCCTTATTTACTATGTCTCATCAGAATGGTCCCCTCATCAGTGGTTCTCAATCTTTCAAATGCTTTGACCCTTTAATACAGTTCCTCATGGTGTGGTGACCTCCAACCATAAACTATTTTGCTGATACTTCCTAACTGTAATTTCGTTACTGTTATAAATTGTAATGTAAATAACTGATATGCAGGATATCTGATATGTGATCCCCCAAAAGAGCTGTAACCCACAGACTGAGAACTGCTGCCTCATGTGTTCAGAAATGTATCCAGCAAGCAAGACTTAATGACAGGTTCTAGTTGGACTGTTAGAGGTGGATGAGATTCTGGTCAATGACCCTACCAAATATTAATATAGTTCTAATAAAAATACAGTTATGAAGTTGACTGAAAAAGTCCTACTAGAATTTATTCCTCTAGCCCTTGAATTTTACCTTTTATTAGTATTTATGTCTCTATACTTCATACTTAATTTATTTAATAAAATTTATTTTATTTCTTGTACAGAATGTTATTATGTATAAAGAAAATAAAATTAAAACAAATGCAAATTCTGTCTCAAAGGAGCTTGTAATTTAATGCAGGATTTTGACACTATATATAAATATATACATAGCCTTATTAGAAGACTTGAAATGGCTAGGGAAAGAATCTCTGAGCACAGACATCTACCACTAGAAACCTCTAAAACTAAACATCAGTAGAACAAAGACTGACAAAACCAGGATAGAATATCTAAGAACTGTGAAACAAGTACACAAGAAATAACATGTACAATGGGAATACCAAGAGAGGGGAAAAATGAAGAAAACAAAACAAAAACACAAGAAATCGATGAAATAATAATGACTGAAATTTTCCCAAAAATAGTATCAGAAACCAAAATAAGATCCACAGGGATCCACAGGATGCAAAAATGTCTCAAACAAACTAAAGATATCAAAATTACATTTAGGCACGTGTGTGTATTTTTGTTTTGTTTTTTGTTTTTGGGACAGCAATTCTCTGTGTAGTCCTGGCTGTCCTGGAACTTGCACTGTGGAGCAGACTGGCCTTAAACTCACAGAGATCCACCTACCTCTGCCTCCCAAGTGCTGGGATTAAAGGCATGCACCTCCACCCACCATTTAGACATATTTTTTTTTTTTTGAAGATCTATTTTATTTGTATAACTGTTTTGTCTGCATGTATGCATGTGTACCACACACATACCACAGTAGTTCAGAAAAGAGTATTGGATCCCTTGGAACTAGAGTTACAGACAGTTGTGAGCCATAACCATGGGTGCTGAGAACCAAGCCTAGTCTTCTGCAATGCCAGTGAATGCTCTTAATCCCCCAGCCTCAAGTTAGCTATATTTTAAACCAAAGAAAATCTAAGTAAGGAGTAAATACTGAAAGAACCCAGAGGATAGAAGAAGGAGATCGTCTGAGTGCAGAGGAATGATGGTAAGAATAGCTTTATGCTCAAAATATATTACAAGCTTTCATGAAAATGGTCTTAAGCAGCCGAGCATAGCAAAAAACTTTAAAAATCTTAAAAAAGAAAAAGAATTACATCTTTTCAGAAACCATGGAAACAAAACACATGGCATAAACTATTTAAACAGGTGAGAGAAAAAAAAATGCCACTCTCCTAGAATTCTGCAACCCGAAAAATTACTCTTCTAAAATGAAAAAGGAAGCTGCCACGACTTTCTCAGACAATATTACATTTGTTGCTAACAGGCCTGCCAAAACAGAAATACTAAAAAGAAGTTTGGTAGAGAGAAAGAAAATAAGTATTACCAAAATAAAGGAAATCTAACTGACATACTATAGAAGAAAAAAAGGAAAAATTTAATCAGTGACTACTTAAAACTACGAAAGGCAGGAAAAGAGACAAAAATAACACAGAACAAGGGCAATGAACAGAAAATGGTAACAAATATATTAGTAATCTACCTCAATCACTTTAATATTAACAGTATAAATGTATCAGTTACTAAGTAACAGTATTAAACCATGGGCTGATGAAGAGATGTTCATATAAAATACAGATACAAACAGATGAAGGGTAACTGAACTGTAAAGGAAACTAGAAAAATAGTAGCAATTAAACACAAAGTAAGCACAAGACTAAAAACACTGGATTAAGTCAATAAAATTGAAAACATGAAATCTAGAGAAAAATTGCTGAACCTAATTAATATCTGGTTCCTTGAAATGATCAATAAAATTAATAACACAATACTCAGGCTAAGAAAAAAAAGCACATAAATTACTAGTATCAGAAATGAAAGAGGGTATATTGGTATAGATCTCATCAGCATTAAGATGATAATAAAATGCAACTCTGTGTCCAAAATTTTGGTAACCTAGGTGAAATTCCTCAAAAGTCACAGTCTGCCACACTCAAAGAACAAACAGCCAAACAGCCTGTTTTCTGTTTAAGAGGCTGAGCCTCCTATTATATGCCTGTAGTCCTAGGTACTTGGAGCACTGATGTAAGGGAAAGATTGCTGGAGCCCAGGAATTCAAAGCCAGCATAGGCAACATGGCAAGACTTGAACTTGA